GTCTGTCTGTCTGTCTGTCTGTCTGTCTGTCTGTCTGTCTGTCTGTCTGTCTGTCGCATCCCTTCTCTTCCCTCTTTTCTTGGGATATGCATGATAAATACAATGGGGACGTTTGATGTTTGTTTCTGCCGCTACTGCCCCTTAGATCTTACAAGTAACGAAGTCTTCAAAGACTCTTCTTTGCTCCGTGCTCTGTGTTGTAGTGGTTAGGCGCTTCGCAATCGCTCACAGGGGATTGGAGTTCGATTCCATTGTGGGGGAAAGTTTAATCAAGTAATTCTGTCTTTCTGCATGGACGTTGTATCCCTCTTAGCCCGAGTTGGCCTGATGATAGACGGGGTCGAAACTCACCTCCTAAATGGTCTAAAATAGTGTCGATGGTGGCGTAAAACCACAGGACACTGGCAGAGAAAGAAAGAAAAAAACACACAACCCCCCCCCCCCCAAACAAAATCGTTTAAAGTCCTTATTAGGCGTATACCTGCAAATAGTACTTGGTATTCATGAGGTCAGAGGTTGCGTGAATGTGGTTATCCTCCATGGTCACGAGGTTAAAGGTCAGAAGCGGCGTCCAGCAGGCCAGGAAGAGAAGCACCACAGCAACCAGCATCTTGACGGCACGCCGTTTGTACCGGGTTCGAACCCCAGCGTCACTGAGCACAACACCCACTGGCGCCTGGGGAAATGGACGTAATATCCATCTAAAGCATAAACACATAGAATAGATTAAGTTTTAAAGACAACAATGGCTGCAGTGTGCTTGGATTCAGTACCAGTAATCAACAATATTGTATATTTAATACGAAACGCAGAAAGGTGGGACTTAAAGCGCAATATTATGTAATTACATGCATAAAAAGTAAAATAGTTCCCGCATCCGATCCAGACTTTGGGGATTGCCTTGTTAGTGAGACAACTTCCTGGACCTTCGGCATATTGTGGTAGGATGGCCAGTTCCTTTCCACGCCGCCTTTACTTTCGTAACTATTATACATATACATACAACATGTATATTTTAGAAAATCAATTTTATTTATTTTGTTGAGTCAAAACGATCGCTACGTTGTACATGCAGTAAGCAAATATTATTCATGTGCCTGTGTACGAGTGTTAGTTAGCGCGTGAAGGGCCCTCTGTGTGGGTGGACGAGATTGGTGAAGGCATTACGATCATGTATCCAAGACAAGAGGTATACAGGAGTTGTGTCCAGCAGGCCAGGAAGAGATGCGATCGTTTTGACTCAACAAAATAAATAAAGCTGATTTTCTAAACATATACATGTAATTGCATAATATTGTGCTTTAATTCTCTCCTGGTATATACCCTTACCGACAAGATAGGATAAAGCTTGTTTCTTTTTAATTAAGGTGTTTTAAGATCCCATCGACAAAGTTTAGATCAATTAGGAGGCGGGTTTTGACCCTTCATATCAGGATCAACCCGGGCTCAGAGGATAACTTCCCAACTGAAAGTCGGTGATGCTCGATAAAAGTTACCCTCGTACAATAATCGAGATAGAGAGGGAGAGAGAGAGAGAGAGAGAGAGAGAGAGAGAGAGAGAGAGAGATA